AAAATAACACATTTCTAAAAAAAAAAAAAAAAAAAAAAAAAAAAACATTTCGATTCGCATTTAATTTTTTCGTCTCTGATGCTATCTGGATTTTACTAAATACAAAATAATTTCCAGGCCTGAAGATGACTGAATGTACAGTTGAAAGTTCTAGCAGATTAAAAAAAGACGTTGTACATCTTGTAGTTATTATAAACAAGGATCATTACATTCATTCTGGGAAAAAAATGTAAAAAAAGAAAGACGTATGAAATTAAGTACTTCCGGCGAAAATAATCGTCTAGAATCTATGTTCAGAGTCCAAAGAAAAAAAAAACCTCCGACACGAGTAAAGTAAAAAATAACTAAGTGCTCAATACGCTAAGTGGACCAAACTAAGTAAACCTAAAAAGAGCCAGACAAACTTACTTTATTTATATATATATATATATATATATATATATATATATATATATATATATATATATATATAATAAAAAAAGCTTAAACACTAATATTCCATGGTCATAATTTATTCCATTGGAATCGTAAATACGATCAATTCATCAGACCTACAAATTATGGAATAAATTATGACCACAGGAATATTAGTGTTTAAGCCTTTTTATTATATCCTTACTCTGTCCTGGACATTGAGTTCTACCTAGATTCTTCCTCTTGGAATTTTTATTCTAAAAATATACATGTATGGGTATTTATATATTTTGCATGCGTATGTATATTTACCACTAATCACTAATATATATATATATATATATATATATATATATTCATGTTTCTTTTTTAAAAACGACGGACAAGGTAATACGGTTAAGCTTTTTATTTAATTTTTCTTGTGTTCGAACAAGAGCTTTCTTTTCTGGACAAAGGGTGTGTAAGAACTGTCCAAATGTTTTATATTTTCGAGCGGATGATTCGATTTTTCAGCTTAATTGAGTGTGTGCGTTATGTGTATGTCTTAATATGTGGTAGGGATGTTTCTAATTTCCGAATACGGTTAGCACATTGTGGCTTTGTTCGTAGTTAATATTGTTAAGAGTTGGCTTTTTCTTTTTTAATATTAAAGCTTCCATTATTTTTAGTCCTTTTTTGCAAGTGGATGCAGTTAATATATTTCTGTTTTCTACTAGTATGTTTCTAATGGAGTCAGGTAAATTTGTGTGTGTGTTCTAATATATATATATATATATATATATATAATATATATATATATATATATATCTTAGTTTGTTCAAATCTCTCTCTGTATATATATATATATAGAGAGAGAGAGAGAGGGAGATACGTATGAGAAATTTATGAGAGAAATTATATATATATATATATATATATATATATATATATATATATATACAGAGAGAGAGAGAGAGAGGGAGAAAGAAAGAGAGGGAGATAGAGCGATACGTATAAGAATATGAGAAATTCCTAAGAGAAGGCAGACGTTTTATTCATTTTTGGTTTGAATCTGCGTTCTTGAATGGGACTGTCGCCATTTAGTGTTGACATCATGTATGTAAATGGTCGAATATTTAGTTATGGGGTCATTATTTAGTTAGCGTATTAAATAGGCATCTATAAATATATGCTCTTTCAATAATAATACATTTTTGTCGTCCGGTTTGAATATTCGAAGAATCTCATTAAAGAAAAATATACGTATATATATATATATATGTCGTTAGATCCGATGTGCTTTAGATCTCTCATCCCAGAAATAAATAAATATACTATTTAAGAAATAAACGTTTTGCCTACTCAAATAGGTGTTATTCACTAAAAAATAACTTTTAAGTAATAAAATCTGACGGAATATTAAATACAAATTCATCCCTTTTAGATTGCTTTATTTACGTTAGAATTTATAACTGAGCAGTTGTGTTTATTTTAAGGAAGGACATCCACATTGTTGGCCTTAAACTGCCAATTTTTATACGATCTTACATGATGAGCAAGTCCGGCACCGGTTAAAAGAACCTTCTCATAGATATTCCATATAAGTTCAGACTGCGTATTCTCTGGAATCTAGTATATGTTACCCTTCCTAAGAGCTCTGTTCATTTCGAACGCTTAATCTTTTGACCTCAAAGCGATTTCAACCATCAAACATTTATCCAACTAGACCTATTCTCTGACATTTTTGCCGAATATAAAACTGGTGTTGTCCACGCGCAAGTTATTCCAAGACAAGCTTCTTACTATTTGAGTATATTTTATCTTGTCCAATAATAAATGAAAATTCTATAGCCAAGATAGTTAAACTGAGGTCGATTTTTTACTCGAAGGTAAAAGCCAAAATTCTAAATGCCAATTTTCCAGACAGAAAACTGGACATTACATTATAATAATGTGCAACATCTACCCTGTTTCACATATTTCAATTTGTTTCGTAATATAGACTTCTATCTATCTATCTATCTATCTAAAGAAAGAAAGAAAGAAAGAATAGACACTCGTACAGAGGAAAAGAAAACGTAATTAAAAAGCAAATGAAAGAAAGAAAGAAAGAAAGAAAGAAAGAAAGAAGTTAAAATCACACATGGACAAAAAATGAAAATTAGGCAAATAGCGTTTCAAAACATAAATGGAAAAAGAAAATGATAACTAACATGCAAACACACAAAAAGAAAGAAAGAAAGAAAGAAAGAAAGAAAGAAAGAAAGAAAGAAAGAAAGAAAGAAAGACGCGAAAAACATATCTGGACAAAAGATTGAAAATGAGGCAAATGTCGTTTCAAAACTTAAATGGTAAGAAAGAAAATGCAAATTAACATGCAAAAAGAAAGAAAGAAAGAAAGAAAGAAAGAAAGAAAGAAAGAAAGAAAGAAAGAAAGAAGTGAAAATCACACATGGACAAAGAATGAAAATGAGGCAAATATCGTTTCAAAAGTTGAATGGAAAGAAAGAAAACGAAAACTAACATGCAAACAGACAGACAGAAAGAAAGAAAGAAAGAAAGAAAGAAAGAAAGAAAGAAAGAAAGAAAGAAAGAAGCGAAAAACATATCTGGACAAAGAATGAAAATGAGACAAATATCATTTCAAAACTTAAATGGTAAGAAAAAAACGCAAACTAACACGCAAGCAGAAAGAAAGAAATACTACTAAGGAAAGGAAGAAATAATGGTAAGGAAAGGAAGAAAGAAATAACAGGAAAGAAAGAAAGAAAGAAAGAAAGAAAGAAAGAAAGAAAAAAGAAAGAAGTAATGGGAAAAAGAAAGAACCGTAAATAATATATCGCCTATGAGTGACAATGAAACAAGTAGCGTTTCTAAAAATGAAGGAAAAGAAAAAAAGAAAACAATAAACATAAACATAAAGAAAGAAAGAATGAACAAAATGAAGGAGAAAACAAAAAAAGAAAGAAAGAAAGAAAAAGATAGAAGTAAAGAAAAAAATTACAAGTGATGAAAGACATAACATAAGGTAATTGAAATAAATGAAGGAAAAGAAAAAAGGAAAAAATAATACAAGAACGAAAGCAAACAAGAAAAAAAAAGAAAGAGAGCCAAATAGAAAGCAAATTAAAGAAAAGCATTAAGCAAATAAAAACAAAATTAAATCAGTCTGAAAAATAAGTGAAGGTGTCCAAATTAACGGAACCCTTTTGTCGACATGTCCGTCTTTGGAAACAGCAAAAACTCCATTTGCCTTCTCGTCGCGTAGAACTCGCTATAGAATGCAATGGTGTAATTTAGAACGGCCATTTTGGGAGAGAAAAGGGGAAAAATACGTTTGCTTTTCCAGCATTTGCCTCGCTTTGGAGAATCGTTAAATATCACTTAGTCGCAACGTCAGGGTTTGTCTTTGCCTCGAACGTGATAAAACACGACTAAAAAACATCAACTGAAAATTACAATAAACGTTCACACAGAAGCACACACACATACATACATACATACATACATACATATATATATATATATATATATATATATATATATATATATATATATATATATATTTAGCCAACACGATAGAGTTAATAAGACGGTATACAAACTGAAAATGTAAGAGGCTAAGTGTGTGCATATATTTGTGTTTGGGGCAATTGCGAAGTTGGAGGTGAAAGACAAGGAAATTGGTGTAGTTGTGACTGACTGGCGTGTTGCTGCGCCAAGTAATGGAATAAATTTTTGGCGTGTGTGCTCAGATAAATAAGAGGTTTTCTTTTAAATTTTGTTATTTTTATATACATATGTGTTTACCTTTTTCTTTGCAAAATCTATTGAAGGACGTAAAAGCCGAAAATTACTAGGTTTATCGTAAATATTGGAAATAAAGAACAGGACAATAAAGAAATAAACTATTCAGAATCATCCTCTCTCCGTATAAAAGTAGGAAAGTGTTTTGAAAGTGAAGCTAATTAAATTGAATGCAGTTGAAGGAGGAGGTTCTTAGACAAAAAGAAGCAAACCATGAAGATATTTTTTCAATAGATATATTTATATATATATATATATATATATATATATATATATAATATAGATAGATAGATAGATAGATAGATAGATAGATAGATATTGATATATAGATAGATAGATATGTGTGTGTGTACATGTATGTATACAGAGTTAGGGAAGGAAGGGGGAGAGAAAGACAGTGAAATGAAAATGATAATGAACATAGATAGATAGATAGATAGATAGATAGATAGATATGAACAGAATGAGATAGATAGATAGATAGATAGATAGATAGATAGATAGATATAGATAGATAGATACGAACATGTTCAGATAGATAGATAGATAGATAGATAGATAGATAGATAGATAGATAGATATGAACAGGCTCAGATAGATAGATAGATAGATATGAACAGGATTAGAAAGATTTGAACAGTCTGAGATAGATAGATAGATAGATAGATAGATAGATAGATAGATAGATAGATAGATAGATAGATAGATAATGAGATTGGGGCGAAAAATGCGAACCAGAATTGGTTATTCCAAACAAATATGTAGGCACCCACTAAAGAGGTAAGAGAGTCACTTCCCATCTGTACGAGAAGGTCTCCGGTCTCGAACGCACATACTCACTGGCCAAGGTTAAATGATGAAACCGGCACTTGAATAATAAAAGGGATATGACGCAAAACAGAGTTTCAGACTCGTATGCAATTTACGAAACAATCTTACCTATATAGGTACGTATGTATGAATGGATGTAGGAAAACGCATTCAGTCTAACATCGAGCCTCGTCAGTATCAAGATGGGTAACCCCTTAAAAATACCAGGTACATCAGTTTGGATGTTCGGGTGATGTAATAAATAATGGCTCGGAATTGTTAATTGAAGATAAGTGTTCCAATTCCCGTTGGGATCGTTTTATTCGTCTACGTGCAAATACCTTTAGGAAATGCATCAATTCCTTAGCTATGGCTTAATTAGCAAGGCTTGTATAACTAAATTATTATTATCTCAAAAAAAATTTTCATTCTAATAAATATGTCCGTCGTGGGTAAACTACGTCCAGCAGCACGGTCTCTGATCAGGAGGTTTTGAGGAGCATGGAAACGCCTCTTAATTGTTGGTGTTCCTAGGTCCACCCTGACACTGGGTGGTAGCACCTGTTAGGGTCCTGGCAATGGTCAAATATTTAACTGGGGTCAAAACACTACGAAAGTATAAAAATAGGTTTTAATACAAGAAATACTTTATAAAAAAATATTACCAGAAATAAATTTTCGCAAAAAATATATTACCATCAATAAAAATTTTGTCGGCAATAAATAACCCATTGCGTCTTATATGCTGTAAAACAAAACAAAGAAAACCTAACTAAAAAGAATTACTGGTTTTAATTAACCTGCAAAGGGTTGACAAACCGTAAAAAACAAATCAATGAAGCAATCAAGCAGTAAGTCAAACCGTAGAGTGTGTCTGCTATTTCAGCCGTGTAGTTCCGGTTGAAGGACAATCGGGTCCCTGACCAGGTTCTGTACGGTGAGTTGGCTGCAGGAAAAAGACCAGCCCCAAAACCGAAATTCAATTATAAAATAAAATCTTAACCGCAATGTGATAGTCCCACATCTTGCAAAATGTTTTTGGTAAATCTTGATCTAGATTGCTTATCTCAGAAGAAAGCGGTGTCTAAGAGGGAATTTGAATAGAGTCTTACATATCTATGTCTACCATCACCCATTCCCAGAATATTGCTGCCACATATGGTCCTGTGCTCCTGATATTTATCTAGAGCTCCTTGATAAAATCCAAAGAAGAATCCGCAATATTATTGGCCCTGTTCTAGCGTCTTGGCTTCAGTCTCTTTCTCAGCGCCGGAAGGTCACCTCAATATTGCTTTTCTATAAATGCTTCCATGTGAATTGTTCGGGTGAGCACTTCGCTATAGGGGCTAGCTTTTAGAATTGTTGTTTTTTATTCCCTTCCCCTCACCCACAGACAATGAATTGTAAATATGGGGACTAGTTAGTATTTTCATAGAGACAAAGAGGTATTATGGTGGTTGTAGTAAGAAAGTTAAGACAGAAGAAGACCGTCCTTTTTTCCAATCCCCTTTTTAGACTTGTGCCACATTTCTGTATAAAACAGAATAAATATCGCTCTTCGCTATGGTGTAAATTGTTTTGTCTTCATATTGTCAACACTCATTGGAGCTAGTTTTTTATTTTTTATTTTATTCCCCTCCTCCTACAGACAATGAATTGTACGTATGGGGACTAGTTATGATTTTCATAGAGACATTGTGGTATTATGGTGAATGTAGTAAGAAAAGTAATGATGCCTTGTTTTAGTGTTAGGAATATCGTGGTATGTTTGGGTCAGTGTTTGTGGCTAACGCTAAGACGGATGAAGGCGGTCCTTTTCCCCTTTCCCCATTTTTGCCTTGTGCCATATTTTATAAATATTTAAAAATAAATATCTCACTTCGTTATAGTGTCTAGGCTCTTATGGATTTAAGCGCAATACTAGAGGTCTCATCTATTTCCAGGTGAGTTGGCTAGATGTAACCGTAAATTCCATGCTAACAGTTTCTTTTCTCGCACTTCTCGATTGTGGATCGCTCTTCTGGCTACACGCTTTCGAATTAACTTTAATTTTCAAAAGATTAAATGCAATGTCAATCGTTATCTAATGTCCACCTAATTTCTCTTCTTTTGTTCTCACTCCTTGGAAATGTTTCTAACTCTTTCACACCCAATGAACCCTTGGTCTCAGTGACTTTGCTGCCTTGCTTGGGTTGAACTCGATTAAATAAAAATGCATAAAAAAACTCAAGTGATAAATTTGAAAGTGTTTTGATGAAAATATTAGCATGGAATTTTATTTAACCTACAATAATGTGGTCGCCTCTGCTTTAATGGCATAGGACTAAAAATAAACATTAAAGAATCTACTTGCATAGAGAAGTCATTCACGACAGGTGATAAAGCAATAGTAAAAATTAGTCATAAAAAAGTAAAAATTTTTAAGACCAGATTTTTCCAGATCTTTATATATATACTTTTTCCAGATTCACTTTCCAGATTTTTTCCAGATATATTTCCTGTCCTGGGTATGATGATAAACTACATCCGCGTCCTGGGTAAAACGATAAACTACGTCCAGCAGCAAGGCCTCTGATCAGCATGTTTTGAAGAGCGTGGAACCACCTTTAAATTACTGGTGTCCCCAGGTCTACCTTGCCCCGAGGTGGTAGCACCTGTTAGGGTTCCAGCTATGGGCAAATAGTTAACACCCAAACTTGTGTAAGCGTCCTCGGTATGACGATAAACTGCATCCCCGTTCTGGGTGATAATTTTTAACGTCTTCTTTCTTTTACATGCATAATCGTGTATGCTCTCTCTCTCTCTCTCTCTCTCTCTCTCTCTCTCTCTCTCTCTCTCTCTCTCACACACACACACACACTGATCAGATATAAAAACAAAAAATATTGTCTTATTGAAATCCATTCATTTCATTTCTTTTATTCGTGCAAGATATCGTTACCATTGCTTTTTGTCTGACATGGAGTAGTCTCTGAGGCGTTCTGGGTAAGACTATAAACTTCGTCCAACAGCAAGGCCTCTGATCAGGAGGTTTTTTTTTGAGCGTGGAACCACCTCTTAATTGCTGGTGTTCCCAGGTCCACCCTGACTCGGGGTGGTAGCACCTGTTAGGGTCCCAGCATTGGGGAAATAGTTGACCCACAACCTGACTCAAAACACTATGAAATCGTAAAAATAGATTTTAATACCAGAAATACTTTTAAAAAAATTAGTATCAGCAATAAATATTTGAAAAAAGAAAATATTACCAGAAATAAAAATCTTGTCCGCATTAAATAACCCACTGAGTTTAATATGCCACAAAATAAAACAAACCAAGGTATACATTTAAAAAAAAATATGACCAGCTATACATTCGTTTTTTTTTTAAAAAAAAAAGGAAATTTTCTCGACATTAAATAACCCATTGTGGTTGATATGCCGTGAAACAAAACAAACCAAACCAAATCAGATATACAGGGTGACCCCAAGAGACCGTGACCTTGAGCAAGTAAACATTTCGCCATTTAGAATTCAAGATGGAATTCACAGTATCCCAGCTGAGAGATGTTGCAGCAGTCAATGAGGAATCTCAACAGCAGATTTCAATAATTCATTCATACAGGAGGACACCATCTACAGGATGTAATTTTAAAAAAATGAAAATTCCACCATTGTTTCTTAAATGGCATGTTTTAAGGTTTCAATTACTATGAATAAACTATTTTTCTTCCATCACTCTTGGTGTTATTGGATTGTTAAAAAGTTCCCGTTTTTTTGGTTCACGCTGTATTTCCAAATTTATTTCCAGATTTTTCTTATAATATTTTTTCTAGATTTTCAGTTTTTTTTTTATATATATAGTTTTAAATTTATTTATAAGCCAGTTTTGTCCAATTTAGTCACCGTTTTCAATGGCTGCTGCCGGGTTTACTTTGTCAGATAATGCGGGATAATAAAACGTAGAATGGTAATGGTTACGACGAAAATATCCGTTTCCCCTAAAGGATTTGGTTGGTTTGGTTTGTTTTACGGCATATCAACACCTCAATGGGTTATTTCATGCCGACAAAATTTTTATTGTTGGTAATTTTTTTTCTTCTTTCAAAAATGTATTGCTGCTATTTTTTTTTTTTTCCAAAAATGTATTGCTAGTAATAATTTTTTTTACAAAGATTTTCTGGTATTAAAACCTATTTTTAAACTTTCATAGTATTTTGACCCAAATTTGGGTGTTAACTCTTTTGGAGGTGTTGAAATTTACAAGCCATTTCTTGTCCATTTAACTACTGATTGGGGGCCATTTTCAATAGCAGCTGTTAGGTTTGCATTGTCAGATAATGCGAGATAATACAACTTAGAATGGTAATGAAAATAACTGTTGTCCCTAAAGGATACATTTTTGATTTAGCGATCTAACAATTGATAAATGCAATGATAAATATTGGCCTTTTGTATTCAGCATTCATTGACGGAATCGAAAGTGTCATTGAAATTAATAAACTCTTCTCTTTTTTTAAAAACTTTTTTTTTTTTTGTTTTAGAAAGAAATAGATTTCTAAAGTTCACTACCTCTTTCTAGTACTGATGGGGGTTGTTTCTAAATTCCTTGTCTTTTTATCGAGGGATTAATTAAGATTCTCCGAGTCTTTGTGGGTGAAAAATTATTTTCCATCTTCGAATCCCTCTCTCACAGACGGGGTGTGATAAGACGCTCACTGGAATCTCCATGGAAAGTGTTCAGAAGGACTACATTCCTTTGTTTTCACCAGTTCTGTCACGGTAAGAATCACCTTGCCACGCCTATTGTAGCAAAACACCCTCATTTCCTCTATATTCCATTATGGAGAAGAAAATTCTACCCGAACAGCTTCTTCCCCCGAACCGCTGCAGGGTGGAACCGATGATGTTTCTCCGATCCCTACAATATTAACCTGTTCAAGTCTAGGGTTAACCGTTATCTTCCCCTCCTATCCGCATAATGTTATGGTCCGGTTCCTTGTACCACGGT